GCGCCTGTATTCCGTTGGTTCGGTGGCCGACGGGCGTTCTAAAAGAATTATATCGCGACCAAGTTTCGAGGAGAGATAGGACGATAGCCATTCCGTACGAACTTTCGACGTTTCGATGCGGAGCGTGCAGAACGAAGTGGCTAGTTCGCCCGGGCGCGGCTACGAGAACCAAAGACGCCACTTAGTTCTCGTGCAAATTTAATTCCGCATCCTCCTACGGGGGACGCGAAAATTGGGGCACCCTCCGTCATCAGGAGGGTTAATATACTTTGTGCATTTAGCTACGGAGCACGATGAATCGCCCCGGGAACGAAAACGTGACACGACATACAAGGCCCGGCCGACTTTAATATTACACGACTCTCCCCGTGGCGAAATCGCGGAGAGCGAGAATCGTGGGATAGTATCTTTTATTTGCCGCTGGAAACTTTCGGGGCTCTCTCGGACGTGCGTTGTTTTGTTCGTACGAAGGGAAACATCGATCCAAGAACACATCACTGGAAAACGACATTATCCTGTCGAGAGAAACGCAACCAATAATTCAACGGCGTGTTTTTGTTGCGCGACGCGCAAGAACCTGCAGCCGCGCTTCGGGGAATCCTGGAACGAGGAACTGTCGTGTCGCCATCACGTTTCCACGTAAATCGACAAATTTTTATCCTGTTACTTGTTGGCGGTGCAATTACCGTTGCATTGAATTCAGATATCGTCTGTTGGTCTTGCGCAAACAATGAATTCAGACGCTTCCCTTCATACCAAGTTCTTTTTTAGAATATCAGTAGCGATCTGTATCAATAAAACGAATACGGCTTCGATAAATTATTTTTGTTTTTCTTATAGGAAAATATTGTACGAGTCTTCTATTTGGAGAAGGCTAAATTCTTTGAATTTATATAGAACTAGAAACGTGATGATTTATTATTTTTTATTCGCGTCATACTTGCATTATATTTCTGTACCTTAGAAATAAAGAATCGTATGTCCAGTTTTTGTCAAAATAGAGTTATAATAGTACATTTTTCGATATATCAAGACCTTAAATTACATGATGATAAAGGGTATGTCTCTTCTGCCTAGTTCCCAACATATAACATTAAAGAAAAGTTATATTGAAAATTTTCATAGTCTTAATTTTAAACCAGGTATTTTTTGCGCGTTATTGGCAGTTATGTACTGTATTAATCATGCCAGTTACATTATTTTATTAAAAACTGAATAAATCGAGAGTTACTTTTGTTTTTTATCTAAAAAAATTCATTTTCCTATTTAAAACTTCAAATCCTGTTTTCTCAAATTTCATAATAATGGAGGTACGATTCTCTACCTCTAAGGTACAGAAATATAATGTAAGTATGATGCGAATAAAAAAAGAAATAAAATATTTACCTCTAAGGTTCAGATTTATACTTCTTGAATATCAATGTTTTTTTAACGTGACTTTCTATATTATGGATTTACCAAAAATAGTTTTATTACTAAAGGTATTTATAATTACGATCGGATACAAATAATTCCTTGTGGTGCGATATCTCGAATCACGATACGTAGCAGAAATTCGTGGAATAAAATTGCAATAATAACAACAGAAGCCAGTACGCAGTTTGCTGAACCGTATCTCGAAATGGTTTTCAGATTTTTGCCGTAAGAAAGAATGGTTGTACTACGCGATGGAAGAAAAGGGGAACAAAATTCTCATGAAAATTCTACAATGGCGATGGCGGTGTTTCTCGTAATGCTCGCTGATCCTTACATTATATCCGATGTTCCTCGCGCATCATACCTCGCATTTATTGCCTCTATTGTGGTTTTACAAGTGTTCGAGTTTCACGACATAGGTACGAAGACGCGATGCAATTATTAAAAATTTCATTATTATTATACAGATTTAACGGAAAAATATTTCTACGACTGATATCTCGATTTGGTATAAACTATCTTGGCGAAGGTAACACGTACGTAATACTACACAATTATCATTTCCGATGTAATGTTATCTCCCAATCATTATAAAAGAATTTATTTTGGAAATGCGATAAGTAAAACAAATAAACTGCAGATGCTCGGTCAATATTTCAATTATCTGACCAATCGTTTGTGTTTTTGTTTTCTGCACGCGCGTATCGTATAACCACGCGCGATTGCTACGTCATTATATCATTACATGCCTCGGCTAACAATTAATCGCATTATCCGAATGAGGCTTTACCGCGAGCTTGCAGGTATTTATCGTATCAATGGATTGGATAACGAAGTTTGCGTGGTATACGTACGGTCGGGGGTCGATATGGCCGACACGAGCTTACAGCGTGGCAGTAAATAGCGAAGCACATGGTTCGCGAAAACATCACTTATCAAGGAATATTATTCCCTTTGAGTAATTTCCGTAATTATGAGATTTAGCAGAAAAAAAAGAACTATCGGATAATCGCTCTTAAAAGTTTTACACGAAATGCAAAAGCGATTTTTACGCAAAAAAACGACGCTTTCCTCGGTAGTCATTTAGTGACATAAACGAGGATACATTTTAAAAAATATACAAACATAAATGTACACATGTGCGTCGCCGACAGTCAGCAATTAATCAGGTGAGCTCTCAAGCACGAGCAAAAAAGGTGCTCAGCTTTCGCGGTATGTGTCGCGATTTAGCGTGCAATTAGCAAAACGCGCTCTCTTGACGGTTACCCTCTTTCCCTGCGTAAAGCCTCAATTTGGCCTTTAATTCCGGAATACATAGACGGAATTAACTTTGTCTTTCATCAAAGCTTTTTTTCGTGCGCCCTTAAAAAATATCTCGGCCGGCCAGCCGGAGTAAAAGCTCGCTGAATTATTTGGAGCGCGAGCAGACGCTCGGGACGACGATGTGGCGCGTAGTCGACGTGGAATGTACAATATTTTGCTTTGTGATGCCGACGAAATTATTTTCATTTATCAGGAAGTCTATGTTCTATTTTTTTTCTTTGTTTCTCTCTCTCTCTCTCTCTCTCTCTCTCTCTCTCTCTCTCGACGCGCATTAATGATTCGCAAATAAAATAGGAGTACGAATAAACGGCACGGCAAAAACGTTCAATTTGACGTATACTGATTTCACGATAGCCCACGCACGCGCGCATTATTATTGCGCCCGTGGGAACAGGCTCATCTGGCCGGAATCAACTTTATAACAAATAAATTGAAATCGCAGCGGAGGTTTCAGAGAATATCCGTGATTTACGAGGAACGGACCGGCCACCGGATGAGAGTAGCATTGACAGGAAATGTCCAACAATCGAGATAAAAAAAAAGCTTGACGCGCGTATTGAATAGGTCGGTACGGCATCATCGATGAACGAAAACAAGATGGAATGAAGAAAACCTTAAAGAATACCGAAAAGACAAAAACACAGTCGGGCGTTGTTTTCTTCTCCGTTGAGGGAAATCACGAGCGAACATATTCGAGAAACAAAATTAGAATTAAATTAAACGGTTGGCCAAGCCAATTAAAACGTTTTGCGAAAGTTCAAGAGATTCTCCCTCGGGAACGGGTAGGGTTTCGCGGCGCGGTGGTTTTTTCTTCCCTCATTACGTCGTTTGCCGTCTTGGTCGTCGAATCGGACGCCATTAAGCCAACCGGTCTTCCGTATAAATACCGCATAGCTGAGAAAATAGAGGAAGAAAGAAGTTGAGCAAAATGTGGGCAAAGTTTCTTGTTTAATTTCAGATTTAGAAAGATTTACCTTGCCACGCTCGCTATATCGATGTGATCAGCCGAACTCGAGCAAAGCCTCGAAATACTTCGTAATATCAGCATTTTAAACAAGCGATTAAAAAACATTAGAGTTTTAATCTTAATTTCGGAAAGGCAGCGATTTAGAAGCGATGTAATCGAAGTGTCATTGAAGGATCAATCACAAATGAATGATACATCATCGTCCACGTCGACTCGAAGTGCGTTTAAGTGAGGTCTAAATCAGTAAACAGTTCAGAAGCCGTTATCCGCGCGCGTCACAGTCAAACTCCATAGTACACGCGAGATAGGAGGAAGCTTAAAGCTTCGAACATTACCAAACGGTAGCAGCTGTACCGGAAGCTTCCTTTAAATATTAAACAACGTAGCGACGTCCCCGATAGCGCTAATAGTTATTACGCGATATCGTCCGGGAAAACTATCCCCAAGGCAAGTGACTTTGTTATAAAACACAAACCGTGTGCTCGGTTTACCACTACCACCGGCAGGATAAAACTAAAACTTTCCATCGTATCGTATAACGTAGTCCTTTTGAGCACCAAGCCTGCCGACGAAAATTATGCCGGGACATGCAGTTTCAGAATAAGGGCCTTTCTCTTTCTTTCATGCAGTGCTGTCGTAAAAGCAAAATTTTACGCGACAAGGTTGAGTGATATATCTCTTTTTGCTGGCATATGTATACGTAGGTACGTTTTGTTCGCGGAATATTCTCGCTATACGCATGACTTCGTGCTTGCAAAGGATCCAATTATCTCCATACTTTATTTCGTTTAATCGTAATTAATAAAAATATCATAAGCCATAACATGTTCTGCGGTAGTTTGTAAATTTTTGCAATTTCTCGCGTATTGGGGCACTTAATAATTTTCGTATAGAGCAGATTTTTATCGGAAAAGGACGCAGAGTAAATTTAAATGAACTTTTGAAATGGAAATAAAAGACAATAGCAGAGAATTATTTAATTTGTAGCTGAGATCCCGAAGTAAAATTATTACAGAAAAAGCATGTTTGAATCTCGCGAGAACTAATAATATTCATTATTTAATCAGAAAACGCGCGAGACAAATAAGTAGGATAAATCAGTTTTGAAGACGTGCAAATTAACGATCTCTTTCCTTTTGTTTTCGTCTTCAAGTATATGGTAATTAAGAAGTGGAAGACGTTGATTGTATCAAAAATAATCTTCCTTTGAGAAATGGGATTTTCCTCGCTGAGAAATGGGGGATTCGCTCGCCTATCAGCGCAAATGAATGATAATAACGGCAATCTCACTTACTTTCGTAACCGGTGAGCGTCGCCTCGGCTGAAACAGCGTCGCCGACTCCGTTCTCAGCTAGGCACTCGTAGTTGGTATTGTCGCGCCCCGGCTTGACAGGTTCGATCCGCAGTAAAGCACCATTTTCATACTGGTGCACCACATACCGGGACTGGGATTCTGTCGACATAAGACGGAAGATTGAGGCGGACGTCGGCACCGTAAAAAGGAAAACCCTCGTCACAAAAGGCGAGGAAAAATACCGGCACGATCGAGGGGGGTGCGCGCGCGCGAAAATGATCGGCGCGGCGGCAACGGGCGATATAAGATCGAAAATTGCGCCGTTGCGGAATCTAATAAAAGGGAGGTATATGTGTCCTCTCGTATCCAATTCCGCGGCCCGAGAAATATTGAATGGGAATTGGATCGCGCGTCTGTATAAATTTCGAGAGCGGGCGGCCCGCCCCGGTTATCGTCTCCCCCCGGCCCCGTCCGCGCCGTCCGTCCGCGCTCACCGCGAATTGGCGTCCAGAATGTTACAAGCGGTCGCTGGCCATTATCTCGTCGGGTGTTCCTCGTCGGATTAGAGAATCGACGACGAATATGGACCGACCCGTGATCGCTCGGGCACATACATTCCGCGGATCAGACCGAATGTTATGCGAAACCATTGCGCGTCATCGGGGATCATCTCGCGGGATTTGCTGGTTCTTCCGAACGTATGAGAATGTAATATACGAAGTTCGAGATTCGATCTTGAAATTGGCATTTCCGAGTTTTTCGACAAGTGGCTCACTTGGTTCAAGTAATTTATCTATGTTTACCAGTTAACAGTCTATCGATATTGGCAGTTATCTACAAGAAATACTGTCAGAAAATGACGTTTTGATTGACAGAGAAAAAATACTAATTGTAAGTCAAAAACTTGTTTTCGGTTTTCCTAAAATAACACTCATTTATGGAAATATATTCCTAGTTTACTAAAGGTCAAACGAATTAACCACAAATTCATGAATATTACAGGAACAGAATTCAAATTCGATGAAAGCTATTATATTACGAATGGATTAAGCCGGAGGTCAATATATGCAACTATTTTCGAGGAGTTATACTATCCTGGTCATTGCAATTCGGTTTATGGAAGTACGTCGAGCTGTCGCAAACTGTTTGGTCGTACGGAGCCTGACAAAAAGATCAGATACGACGCATATGCATTTCGCAAAACATCCAACGCAACTCGTTCGGTTTCCGTCGTGTACGAGTGCAAAAATCACTCGGACAGAGACTAAGAATAGTTCGAATCGACTAAGAGAAAGCGAGATGCACGATACAGGAAGAAATGCGGCAAAATGGATGAACGCGTGCGGACGAAACGGTACCGGGAAAGACGTGAAAATGAAAAGCGAAGAATCCAGGTCAGGAGAACTTTTTAATTTAGATAAAATTTTCATTCGTTTTCACCGCGGCGTCTCTGGTTCTCGTGAAACGAGAAGATACAGATTTCGCGTGCAGGTCGAAGGCCGAAGAGCGCACCCTCGAGCATTCTCAACGAACCGGTGGCGACGATTTCGAAGACGCAAACCGGGTCGGAGACAGGGAAGGAGAATATGTGCGAAAGTGCGCGGACTTACGTGAGATTCTCTTGCCGTTCTTTCGCCAGTGTATTTGGGGCGGCGGTGCTCCTTCCGCAGTGCAGTAGAAGCTCGCTATTCCGCCTGCCTTCACCTGCTGTGATTGTGGCTTCACCAGGATCGTCGGCGGACCTGTGAACAAAAAGAACACGCGGGGTTCTCTGATTAGACCTCGGCTTACAATAGGATTTCTGTGTGATGGTCATGCGGCCAGGCTGCTATTTGAGGCGCATTTTGAGACTTCGTCTGCTTTAACACGCCATTTCATGGCAAAAATAAGGTTTTCTTTTCCTCGCCGATTAAAGAATAGAAGATAGATTAGAGAATACAAAAAGCCTGCGAGTATTTTTTTAATTTATAATTATTGTATTTTATTTTTTATCATTTGGAGTTTATTTTTGTAAAACATGTCTTAAATATCGTTTTTATGTACAGTTTCTATCTACAGTTTTTCACAATGATATTGCCTTTATTACATAAAACTTGCTTGACGATAAAAAATAATTTTAAATAGTTGTGACACTTGCAGTCTGTTTCATATTTTAAATTATCATTTCGAATGCAATAAAAAGTTATTAAATTTTCGTGTAATAAAAATATTAATAGTAATTCAAATTAACAGTACTAAAAGGTAGAATAAAATTGTATTATACCTAGATAAAGATTATTTCAGCTATTTGCACTGGAAATCAAGTGATCGTTTTATAAAGAATCGCAAAGTAGCAGAAAATTATATAAAACTGGACCCTTCGTTCATGAAAATTGCGCGTTTTAACGTTTCTCGTTTCTCGTGTTAAAATTTAAGTAAAAAGTTCACGGTTGCGCTTGCTCGCTCGCTCGCTCGCTCGCTCGGCCAGCGTAGGAAAACGTTAATTTGCAAAGGAAAATTGCAGTCCTCGGTTACGCAGATATTTTCTTTCTACATCAACTCTGCTTGGGTAATTAGTCTCCTTCTCGCAAATTCGGGTCATTAGTCTACTTTTCATCATTTAGAATGGCTTTCGTAGATTTTAGTTAAAATATAGAAGATGACGGACAGCACACCCGAGCGTTAAGTCCGGAAGTCGGAAAAGTTTCGATATGTAAAAATGGCCGGAGCTTGCGGCCGAAAAGCAGGACACTTTAGTTTTAGAGCGAAAGCGTATCCGCACGCTTCCCGAAAGAGAATCGAGATCCCGAGAATAACGTTCCCGATAATTGTATCGGGTTCCGAGCGGGCGTTTGCAGCCTTCTACGAATTAACGTCGTAAAAGTCCGATCTGATTGCGCTCGCGAAATTTATACTCGTCGGGCGAGAACGGCGTATCTCTCCCGTCATCGATCGCACGGCGCGGCGCGGTGCCGCGCGGTGGCTACACGAATGCACCGGGCCAGAAGTCGGTGACCGAAATTAGTGGATTTAGTGCGGCGGGAAGTCCAAACTGCCTCCGCTGCTTTTAACCTCGGGAATAAAGAGACGGCCGGTGCAAGATGGATGAACGTGACGCGCTCCTTTGTCAGACCAACGCCGCGCTTCGCTGCGATGTCGAGCGGTCTCCGGAGAAAGAGGAAGAGAAGAAGAGAGAGGGAGAGGAAAGAGGAAAGAGAGAAAGAGAGAGAGAGAGAAACGTAAAAGAGAATCGTCGTAGAGAAGGGACGACATCCAGAGATGCGCTATCTGGAACGGGACTACTGCTCGTTCTAAATTGGTCTCGGAACTTTTCGATCGTGTTGATCCTACGTCGGGAAAATCGACACGTCGTTTATGAGTATTATTTCCGCGAGTTAAGAGCTTGAATAAAAAGTGTAGCGACCTGCGAGAGAGTGGACCGCTGGCGGCGAGACATATCGAGATGTACACAGCTTTTTATCTTATCTTTTTACAGTCGAACGTTGTGCCAACATCGATCTTGATTTGCTTGGTTCAAACGCCGAAACGCCTATTCGTAATGGGACTAATGGATAATAATAAAATGTGATTTTCCAGCCGAGGGTGTTAAAAGAATGTTTATCTTGGCGCAGTCGAGCTAATGCCGAGACGTTTATACGATCGTTTATACGACCGAAAAATATCTACCCGACGTTTACGGGGTACCCCGGTACGCGATAAACTCGACTTATACTACTTGCCACGGCGCGGCATCGGCGTCTCCTTTTTCTGGGTCATTAGACATACTTTTACGACGTCGGAGTACATCACACGCAGTAAAAAACTTTTTAATCCAAAGTGCAATCGTTCCGGGAGAGTTTGCGATCCCGTGGCTCGTGTGAGATTTTATTGCAGCATTTTTAAAACGGCGTCTGTCCATCGTATCATCAAATGACACACTTTATCGGGTATAAAAAGAAGAATGTATCGAAAAATAATAGCAGTTTATCGCGGTAAACGTTGATGCGCAATATACGCGAGAGAAGTACTCTTAAAATATTCTTGATTCGAGTGAGAATTTTGCTTTCGAAGAAAGTGATAATATAATATTATAGGCACACTCAAATAATGTTTATATTATTTCTATAAAATTAAAGTTTTTATAAAAATTAATTTCTGTATAATTATAAAAAACAAACGGGTAGAAATACCAAAATCAAATAAATTATGTTAACTTTTATTAATGGTGACTTAATCTCGAAAAAATCATAAAACAGAAAAAGTATAAAATATAAAATATAAAATAACCTTATATTATAGATGGATAAAAACTATCTTTTTTGTGGAAGGAACAGGAATAAAAATGTAGCCGAGTAATGAGTGCGAGCTCGTCGTTTTCGCGATGAAAAGTTAAACTTGCAAAAAATGCATATGGTACAAGAGACTCGACGATTCTACAGTTGACAGGTATGACCACTCTAATCTACAAACGCAGGTCGTGGACACTTCACGCACGTATGCGCACACACGCGCTCTTCGGTCGGACGTAATTCAAGCTAAATATTATTCCGCCGACGAAGCACAGGTAATTTTTGATCGAATTGTGCATTCGAAATTACTCTTATCCGAACGTATTGTACCTCCGCGCGGCGCAATTGTCGTTCCACCGGAATTGCTCGTAACAGGTCCATTAGTCGACCACGGTCGCTGTGTACACATGGTACATGTACACGCGTGTACAACAAGGCTACGACTTACCGTTTTCGCGTATGTGTGCACGTAGATACGTGTGCGTGTGTAGCGATGCTTTTTATACAATTTGCCGCGATTTTATCTCTTGAACTCGCAGTGTAACTTTCGCAGACACATCACGGAAATGTGTAGTGCCTCTATCGAAATATGTGTGGATAATGCGATTGCTATTATAATAAAATTTCAATGAATATAAATAGAACAGTAATAACAAGTCGGCGAGCTATGTTATTTTTCAATACTCGACTTTACTAAGAATAACAACGTTTACTTGAAAAGATATTTACAGCAGCGTCGGTATCGACAACATTATTGAAATGCAAATTATACACAATCGAGGAAGGTTTACGACACCATTTGCGGAATGTCGTTTCCGAGCGATCAGAATCTCCAAAAGTTCCGCTGTATACGGAGAAGCGAGTGCCAGTTAAATTCCAACATAGCAAATACCGAGTCTATCTCTCGGCTGCAGCAGTTTTCGATCTTCCGCCGCTAAAAGTGACCGTTTGCCCGATTCCATTAAAAGTGGATGAACGGGGAAACAGAGGGATAGAACAAAAATAGGAAAGAGGTCGTTCGCGAAGGAGGACCATCCCCACTGCAACTATACTATCGATTCGATCCCCGTCTGGTCAGCAATTCAAAATGCAATACAGATAAACCTCGCGGGGGATATAACAGTGCCAATGTGCAATTTGTTTCATTTAATTGTCTGCGTAATTTAGCCACGCTGCATTCATTTTGCTTCGTTTTTCGATTGTAGATGCTGAAGTAGCTAGCTCGCGTCGGTATAATAATCCAAGACGATTTTTCCAACTGTTGTCTCACCGAGAAATTCTGGAATATAATAAAATCGTTCTTGTCTATTATGCACAAGCAAGAAATTACTTTTAACACAATTTGAAAGAGTTTTTAGATATGCGAATAATTAGAATTATTAATGACAAGTTAATATCTGTTTAATTTGGAATGAGCGAAATTAAGCTAGTAAATGTATACACATTCATTGGCCGCAACCGTAAACGTATCTAACGCAGGCGCTATTAGCCTATTATATTCCAATAATTGATTTATCATATCTGACTGTGTTAGCTGGAAATATATATCGTAAATATAACGGGGGATATAATCTTTATGAACCCAATTGTGGTGAAGATTAATTTAGCGTTATTTTTTATGTAACGATTTAATGAATTAGAGCCCGAAAAATGCGTCGAATATTTGAGGGTTAATTTACTTTAGCCGCTGACATTTATTTATCCGAAATTCTCCCATTCCCGCTATCTTCTCCTCGCGAATAAATCATTTTCGGTGAGAAAATAAAAAAAAAAATTCGCACGAGAGGCCGATGAATGTGATTTTGACTGAAACGATAAGGGAAAAACACGCGAGAGGTGTAGGGGCACGTTGTCAAGGCGGGAGTAATAGCTCGGCTCGAAAAATATTGGAAAAGCTTGCACGTGCCCGACACTCGCTGCTCTTTCCTGAGAGATTTTCGCGCTGCCGGGTTGCACGCGAGCCGGCGAGTGTACACAAAGATTAAACGCCGGTGAAAATTAGATTGCGAAAAGCGAGGCATGCCGTCGTTGCATCCCGCGAAATGAATGTCGGACCACTTTTAAAGAGAGAAGGGAGGAGGAGAGAGAGAAATAAAGAGAGAGAGAGAGAGAGAGAGAGGAGGAGTGAAAGTGAGAGAGTATTCCAGGGACGAGGAGAGATGCGCTCTGCCGGAAATGAAAATAGTAACACAGGACGAAGACTTTCAGGACGATCCTCGCGTATCCACGGAAAGTTATCCGCGCGTAATTCTGTGTGCAACACACGGGAAAATGTTTCTCGTCCCGCAATAAAGTTATTTGTGAAAAGGTCAGAGTCCAACGCAATCGGGGACGCACGTAACCGGGTCGTGAAACATTTCGCAGTAAAGAGTGTCAGTATTGGATGCATGTCGCACTATTGCCCGACATTCGAACTAGATTCTACCGTACTACCCTATAATACGACGCTAGCGATCGCGACTTTTCGCGCGACG